TTACTGTTCTTTTTTGAATAATATGTGTGTGATTTTAGACACATTGAACTAGGCATTTTTCTTAATCTAATAAATGGATCTAGATTCAGCTGAAACTAAGACAATACTAGAGTAATAGAAGTCTGTCACTGTAAAAATAAAAGATGATATTTTAAATTTATAATATATATATATATATTTTTTTTTTTAAAATTTTTGTTTTCATACACATGTTTAGAAAATATTTGAAGTAATTAATGGCATAACTATTGAGAATTAACTTATCACAGTGTTTATTACTCCAAATTAATATTTCAGATCTTTTATACATAGTTATGTAACTTTTTGGTTTGTTTTATATTCATGTTTCAAATTCATGTAGGTATTCATCTAAAATTCCACGTTGCATTTATGAAATGTTATTTTTCCCTAGTATTTTGTCTGAGTGACCCTTCTAACCAAAGAGGGGAAAAAAGAGAGATTTCTTATTTACATTACAGAAATAACTTAGTAAATTATCTGGATTTAAAAAATGAAATGAACTAGCTGATGACATAATGGTTATGCTGCTGGACTCCCACTTAGTTGTTTGCAGTTCAAGTCCTGGATCTGATAGGACTTACCCAACTTATTCTGGGTACGTGTGCATGCTTGCCCAAAATCCTGAGAGGAGAATGAAGGAGAAAGGATTGTGGTGTGCTAAACCCCTTGTTGGGTGATTTCTTGCTTTCTGTCTCTCTGTCTCTCTGGTGAGCACATGTGCTCTATAGCAAAAATCCCTCTAAAAAAAAAAAAAGAAATGGATTTGTTTCTAGTCATTGTAAGCCAAATATAGAAAAATTATATTTTATCATGGTATGCTAAAAATGATTTTAAATGTTTCAGGCACTGGTTCTATTTGGTAACTTTTTTTTAACAGCAAAAAGCTTGTATTTATAAGTAATTTTTGAGATCTAGTATTTTATTTAACTTTGAAGAGCCTTAAGGCTTTTGGATTAAATATGAATTACAAAAAAGATATGAGTTTAGGGTAAAGCAGACTCTTCAAAAATCCAGTGAAGTGATAGGATTCCAAATCCCTATTCCTTCTTTTACTCATTTACTTTTATTTTTTGGAGAGGTTTTTGCTATAGGGCACGTGTGCTCGCCAGACAGACAGAGACAGACAGACAGAAAGCGAGAAATCACCCCCCAGGGGGTATGGCCATGCCGCAATCCCTTCTCCTCCATTCTCCTCTCGGGATCTTGGGCACACACACACACACACACACACGCGCCCGGCGTGAGTTTTAAGCCACCGGGTCCGGGACTTGAACCGCGTCGAGTATGTGGGAGTTCAGCGACATAGCCATTACGCTCACTGCTGGTCCCATCATTTACATATTTTTTAAAGAATGTATTTATTTATTTATTTACTTACAGCCACATACTGTGTATCAGTTCAGTATACAAAATGAGATTTTACATCCAGAATATATTATATATTGGCTCAATCAATGATATTACCATACATGCTGTCATCAACAAATTATTATCTATTTCTTGTTTCTTATATGTTTTGCCTTTTCTTTTTCCCTCCTTGATTCCCTGCCTCTCACCCTCTGCCAACTATATCCTTTCTATCTCCCTTCTCCCACACCATCTCTGGTATATACAGTTATTTTCCATGCCTTTTTTTTTTTTTTTTTTTTTTTTTTTTTTTTTTTTTTTTCCCTAAAATTTTTGGTTCACTAAAGATTTTAATTAATTTAAAGACTTTGGATATCAAGCACAGCTGATATATACATATTTAAGAATGCATGTCTAACTTTAGATGTAAACCTCAGTGAATAAAGTGAACATACTATGAAGTAGCACCTCACTGGGGCTATATAGCTTACTGTAGTCATTGAATAGGTATTAACAGGTATTTTTAAAGCATTTTTTAATGTTAAGAGAAATTTGTTTAAAACGTAAAGCCAGGAGAAAGGTTAGGATTCATTTCAAATAGTAGGTAGATCAACCTATCAGCAGTTCAAAAGAATACAAAAATCTTTAAATATGGAAATAAAAGCATCGAAGAAAATTAGTAATGCTTTAGTCTAAAGTCAAAAAATTCTGTTTCACTAGTTCAGACTTATGTAATTAATCTCTCTTCTATTGAATTTACATTGTTACTGTGGCCTGATCTTTCCATTTAAACTCTGGAAGCTAACATTCAACTCTGGACTTGTCCCTACCATTAGGCTGGGCATTCTTTTGGTTGTTTCTTGTACTCTTATTTCTGTGTGTCCAACTTCAATTTTCCTGGTATAGCACTCCCTTCAGCACTTTTTGGAGAGCTGAAATGGTGTTAGTAAATTCTTCAGATTTTGCTTATCTGAGAATGTTTTTGTCTTTTTTTTTCCCATATGAAAGGTAATCTTGCTGGGTATAGTATTCTTGGTTGAAATTGTTTTTCACCTAACACTGTGAATATATTTCCCCATTCTTTCCTTGCTTGCATTGTTTCCAATGAGAGCTCTGGCATTAGCCTTATGGTATATCCTTTGAAAGTAACTTGACGTTTCTCTCTTGCCAATTTTAGTATCTTGTCTCTGTCTGTGGTTTTGGTCAGTCTAGCTATGATGCGCCTTGGGGAAGATCTTCTTGGGTCAATTCTACATGGGGTCCTTTGTATTTCTTGGGTATGATATTTGAATGCCTCTCTAGGTTTGGAAAGTTTTCTTTGAGGATTTCATGGAATAGATTATCTATGCCCTTATTAGTTTCTTCACCTTCAGGGATACCAATGATCCGGATGTTTGGGCATTCAATGGTATCTAGTATAACTTGTATGTTGTTCTCATTTTTGGAAGTTATTTTCTCAGTCTTTTTGGTGAATTTTTCTAGGTCAGAGATTCTATCTTTTACATCTGAGATTCGATCTTCTGCATGATCTAATCTGCTTTTGATACTTTTAACGAAAGTTTTGATTTCCTGTCTTCATCTCTAACAACTCCATTTAATTCATTTTTATAATGTGTATCCCCTCTTTCAGATAGTGCAAGAATTTTCTCACCTCCTAGAACTCTGTGTCCCTTTTCTACTGTATCTTCTGGAGTTCATTGTCTCCATTCACTTGCATTTCTGTTAGCTTTGTCATTATGGCTATTTTAAATTCTTTATCTGACATTTTCATGTATTTCCTTGTATTCTTTGTGGACGAAGAGGAGTTATTCTTTTCCATTAGTGGAGAAATATTTTCTTTGTTTCTCATATTTCTTGTGCCTCTGCGGTGGTTTCTGGTCATCTGATGGATTATATGATTTTTCCTATTTTTTGGAGTTAAATCTGGCTCCTGGCTAGAGTAGGAAGCAGAACAGTGAAATCTGGGCAGAGGGTATTCAGTGGTCGAAATCCCTGAAAGGGGTTGCTTTTAACTGAGTTGTAGATGGCTGCTGATTGGTTTATCTTGGCTCCTGGCTAGACCAGGGACCAAGGAACAGGAGGGTGAAGTCTCTTAATGACTATATTTTTGGGAGAGGTTTTGCTATAGGGCATGTGTGCTCGCCAGAAAGACAGAGACAGAGAGACAGAAAGTGAGAAATCACCCCCCAGGGGGATGGCCACAAACAATCTCTTCTCCTCCATTCTCATCTCCGGGATCTTGGGCACATACACACATACGCGCGGTGTGTGTTTAAGCTACTGGGTCTGGGACTTGAACTGCATTCCACTACATGGGAGTCCAGCGACATAGCCATTACATCAACTGCGGGTCCTTCTTGATAACTTTTTTAAATGCTGCTTTATGTATAATTGTAGGTTTTTTTTTTAAATATAGGTTTTTATTGGACTCAGAACAAATCATTATAGGGTAGCCTTAATATTACCTATTCTCCAAACTAGAAAGAACCTCATTAAACTGTGTGCTGCTTCATTTGTGCCTGCTGCATGAATCTCAGTATTAACATTTCTCTAATTGCACCTTTATGATATTAAGATATGAACTGTTTTTGGCATAGTACTATATGAATGTGTTATATCCTTGCAGGGGTTTATGTGTTAGTGTCCCACTACAGTCATATATTTTAGATTCATCCTTTTAGAATTTGTATAGTAGTAGACAATGTTAGTGATAACGGTCAACATTAATTGAATATATATTGTGTACGAAGTATATGCACTAAATCTTTATATACACTCTCATATAATTCTCACAGCAGGTATGTTAGTTTTTTAATTTTTAAAATTTTGTTATGTTTATCCTTCAGCTCAGATTTCCCCAATCTTCTTTCATCACCTGTCCTATTGGGTTGTCAGAAAAAGTTATGATGCATTTTTGCGCAGAAAAAATATGTTATGACTTCTTTTGACAGCCCAATAGAATTGCTTTCCAGTTTAGCAAGAGATGTGAAAAAAAGGCTGTGTTGGTTCTGTCAGGATTCCTTGTTGGAAACCAGCTAACAAGGGGTCGGCTTTATGGCCTGGTGGTTAAGGCAGCCAGATCTCACATGGTCACCCTCACATTTTGAGTCCCAGCCTGGGAACTTGGGAAATGCTCCAGGTATGTGTGCTTGCCCAAAATCCTAAAAGGAGGGAGGGATGGAGAAGGGATTGAGGCATGACCATGTCTCATGAGGAATGCTTTCTCTTCTTTCTCTGGCAAATGCACATGTTCTCTAGCAAAAAAAAAAAAAAAAAAGAAGAAAAAAAAGTAAGAAAGAAAGAAGCTAGCTCACTAGAATAAAAACTGTGAGGCTAAACTCATGCAAAGTGCTATAGGAACACAAAAAGAAGCACTTAGCTTCTTCTTAATGGATTCAGGGGAAAACTACATTGTTTCTCTAAGCCTTACTTAATTGTAAAGAATATAATACTAGAGATGACTCTTTAGAGGTTTTTAAACTATAATAGTGTAAAATTACATATAGGCTTCCTACTAATAAAATAAAATGTATATATTTAAAATTAAATGACATATGTATTTGCTTTTTAACATTAATGACTGTATATATTCAAAAGTAGTAATACTAAGATATTGACAATTTTTTCCAAAGGTTTTGAAAGAGGGAAGGAAGATATTTCTCAAAATAAAGATGAATCTTCCCTTTCTATGTCAAAGAGCAAGGTAAGCATATTGTCATCCCAAATATATGATTATGATATCTTTTTAAATGTTTAAGATAAAGGAACTGGGGCAAGCTTATGGCATGGTGGTTAGACAATAGATTCCTACATGGCCAGTCATGATTTGAGTCCCAGACCTGGTGGCTTGAAAATCACGCTGTGCACATGTGTGTGCATGCCCAAAATCTCCCCAAATCTCAGAATGGGCAAAAAAGGGATTAGTGTGTGGCCATCCCCCGCAGTGGGTGATTTCTCACTTTTACTCTCTGTCTCTCTCTGGTGAATGCATGTGCTCTATAACAAAATAAAATAAAATAAAAAGATAAAGGAACTAACACTGAAATTCTATTTAACCTTTATGGTGTGTTTTCATGTTGCTACATCCAAACTATAAAGTTCCTCAGGGACTATTGGTTACTTGGAAATATAGCCCATAGGTGGTTTTCTCTCCACAATAATATTGTTTCTGGCATGTCCGCTACTGTAGTACTTCTCATTAAAAGGAAGAGTTTTTGCTTCATTCAGATTAGTCAAAATATATACATTTCAACAATTAAAGGCCAAAGATCTTTGCAGGTATAGCCTGTGATTGAAAGACTTTTTTGTCTTAGAATAAGACATGATTTCTTAAATCAGTATTAAACTGGGATGCATTTACATGTTATTAGGTCTGTTTCAAATTTTTTCTTTAAGAGTATATATTTAAATTTGAGAAACACTATATGAGATAGTTATTTTTCTACAAGCTTATAGTTTACTAGACTTTCTTTAATTTGTCAAGGAATTTGACTTTTGACTATTCTCCTTGGTTATGTTTAGTAGCAGGAAGAACTTGTATATTTGTAAAATTACACTTCAATCACTATAAGAAAACCTATTTCTTCAGCTAGTAAATTCTCTATTGTATTTAGCTGTAGGTTTTGCTATGTTAATCCTACAATCCACAGTATGTTTATACATATGATTTTACATGTATTATTCATAGCTGACATTGAGGTACTCATTACATAGAGATCCATGTTATGTATATAAAGTACTCAGGATGGAAATCTAATAATGTCCTGATTTATTTAACAGATACATAAGAAACGCCTTAATCACATAGGGGAGAAAATTTTATTTCATACCCATTGCAAGGTTCAGTGCTGAGACTCCTATGACTAAATACAAATTAAAAAGAAAAAAAATACAAATTTATTTAATATAAGTTCTGTGTGACATAGGGGCCTTCAGAAATGAAAATCCGAAGAAACAGGGGTATCTGTATTTGTATGCTTTGGTTTGATGAAGACTAGACGGTCATATGAAAGTACGATTGGATAAAGTGGGAAAGTATGATCTTACGGTAATAACTGGGAAGGAGGGAATTGAAGGAGCGAATTTAACAAAGCCCTTTGATTCAGATTCTTCTTGGTATCTTGTATTCTTTCTTCAGACTATAGGGATAGCACCTGTCTCAGGGGAATGTTAAAAGAATTCTTTCATGGCCTGTATCATGGATCTTTAGAGTGAGTGAGTTTGTATTCAAAGACCTTTATCTTTGAATATATCTGGTGAAGTTATACAAATCAGACCATTCAATATTTGAAAGCCACCACTTGGCTTACAGTCCTTTATACTTTTCTGGCATCAGAAATCCTGCTTAGAACTTTAAGTGTCTAACAATACTTTAAAATGAAAATCATAGGACATTGAAGATATCTGTTTAATATTGTTGTTCCGAGATTTATAGAACTGCCTTTTAGTTTTGTGCTCTTCTAGTGAAAGAATGTGGTCTCATTAAAGGAGCACTGGACTAGGAGCTCCAGGTTCTGACCTCTGCTTTGTGAATGGTTGTTACATTGGAAAGTCAGCCTCCCTGAGCCTCCCTTGTATGATTTGTGAAATGGAGATAAACCCACCTGTTGTGTGCCTTTTTTCAAGGTCTTATTAGATCACGTGAAAATGTGAAGTATGAACTAAAAGTCTAGGAACAAATTTAAAGCAATAATAACTTAGATGTACTAGATAGGAAGAAATAGATTCTGGAAATATTGGTGTTCAAATACTGCAAATTATAGTGACTTAATACTAGTTTCTGAAGATGCTTTTGTTTTGTTTTGTTTTTTCCTTTTGGAGAAGCAGAAATGGGACAGTATGTACAGACCCTTACTAGAATTACATGATTTATGTTTGCTTTTTTTAATTTATAATATTTTAGCTGTTAAAAAATGACATTGCTTTAGCTGATTTGGTCCTAAGAATAATTAGTGAGTAATCAGAAAAGTCATGATGCATTTTTGTGTAGAAAAATCCATCAAGACTTCCGACAACCTAGTAATTGTTCTGTGCTTTAGAAATACTCTGAAAAGCAATATGCAAAAAGTTACAGATTATCATATTTAACTTTGTATTGTAGATTAATCTATTGATTAGTTTCTAGTTTTGTGTATTTGTGTATTTAATATGGATTTTGTTTGTTTGTGAGCTCACCGGAGAGAGACAAAGAGAGATAAAAGTGAGAAATCACCCCCCAAGTAGTGATGGCCACTCACAGTCCCATCTCCTTCAGTCGTCTCAGGATTTCGGTCACATAAGCACATGTGCCCAGAGTGATTACTCCAGGTCTGGGACTTGAACCATGGTTGACTATGTGAGAATCCAACGCTTTAACTATGAATTTGTTTTTAAACACAAACTGTGAGATTATCAGAAAAATGATGACATATTTTTCTATGCAAAAATGCATCATGACTTTTCCAGTGACCCAGAATGTATGGAAAATCGATATTTAAAAATTGACATTTTACTTAAGTCAGCAATGAATGGAAAGAATGTCACAAACACAGCTTTAGCAGTAATTCTTACATTACATGTGTATACAGTAAGTGAAGATTTTAATTATTATTTCTCTCCTCTTCCTTTCTATGTGATTTCAGTCTGAATCTAAACTTTATAATGGCTCGGAGAAGGAAGGTTCAACTTCAAGCAAGCTCACAAAAAAAGAATCTCTTAAGGTAAGTTTCCACAGTTATTTCTGGAAAGTAGTTTATATTGTGCTTTGCACGTGCTTTTGAGAGTAGGCTCATTATGAAATAGGTCTTCAAAAAGCTTATGGAAAATATATTCTTATAAAAAGACTATGCATTCAAAATTATCATCATCTCACAGTAAAAATTGTACTTATATTTTTCCATGAACTTTTTGAAGTCTCCTTGTGTGTGTGTGTGTGTGTGTGTGTGTGTGTGTGTGTATATATATACACACACACACACATGCATACATACATGTTCCTAAAGGAAGAAAAAAATCCAGAGGAACAGATGGGCACTCATAGATACAGTTAGTACATATGTGGTACTCTGGGACCAGCTGATAAGGCTTGCTAACTGTCCGAGTGAGGGCTGCTTTGGACATCACCTGGCTACTCCGGTTGAAGACTTGATATCTCTACACAGCTGTATTCAAGCCAGATATCTCCCTGGGTCATGGAACACCTGATGGGAAACTCTGGCAATGAATGAAGTCAGTTTGCTAACTGCTGTATCATGGACTGAATTTGGTCCTCAGGTAGGTATATTTTGATTGACTTGCATAATATTTTAAAAATTTGAGCCAACAATTAAAATTATTCTAATTTCCAATTTCTCTTAGAAAGGTATAGCGTTGGGGGCAGCAGGTGGCATAGTGGTTAAGTACTGGACTCCCACATGGCCTATTGTGGTTTGAGTTCCACACATGGTGATTTGAAATTCACACCAGGCATGTGTGCACGTATGCCCAAAATCCTGCGGGGAGAATGGAAGAGAGGGGATTGTAGCATGGCCATCCCCCCCAAGGGTGATTTCTCTCTCTCTCTCTCTCTCTCTCTCTCTCTCTCTTTCTCTGTCTCAAGCACACACACCCTATAGCAAAAAACTTTTTTTTTTTTTTGGAGAGGTTTTTGCTATAGGGCATGTGCACTCGCCAGAAAGGCAGAGACAGACAGAGAGATAGAAGGCAAAAAATCGCCCCCCAGAGTGGATGGCCATGCCACAATTCCTTCTCCTCCATTCTCCTCTCGGAATCTTGGGCACACATGCACACATGCCTGGCGTGAGTTTAAGCCACCGGGTCCAGGACTCAAACCGTAGTCAGCTACATGGGAGTTCAGCGACATAGCCTATATATATATATAATGTTTGTATATATACACATATATATGTATATATAGTGTTTTTCTCATTCCTGAACACACTTTGGTCGGTCCTCTGATCCACTGCTCAGCGTTCTTAGTGCCTGCCGACCACGCCCACAAACATGTTCTGGCTCACCTTCTTGAAAATGTTCACAGCCAGCCTCCTGGCCATTTGTGCAGGGGCCGAAGTGGTACACAGGTACTACTGGCAATTTAAAGCAATATCTGAAATTCCATCAAAGCTTGGAAAACTCAAAAAAGAGCCTTAGGGACTGAATGAGAAAAAATATGAACCTCAAGTTTCTCAGCAGTAGAATTTTCAAAATACAACTCTGCCAAACATTCTGTGAATACCACTGTAAGTTTTACCTATTTATTTTTAAAATGCATTCAGTCAAACTACCTGTCCTTAAGTACCTAATCCAATACTAACTGTAAAAGGAGGTGCTCATCAGATACTAAATGAAATTGAATTATGGTTTGACTACTATTTCTTGAAAACTGCCAAAGAGGATATCATTAGCTTCTTGAATGTGGTTTAGAAGACACTTAGTCTTGAATGTCATGTGAGAGAGAATATATGCAATGTCTCCTGCTGTTATAATCCATTTATTTCTCTGAGTCAGCAAATGGGAATTATAAGTTATAATACTTTATACTTAATTTGTAATTATAATTTATAATTATTTTGACAGTGAATGCTTCTGGTGTTAAGTTAATGTTTCTCTGAATATCAGAAAGTTCAATTTGTATTAAACTGTATTAGGTTAAAATTTAACATTTGAAGTTCTTTTGGCATTGTGTATCTAACAAAATAATAACATTCATGATTTGGTCTGCCATAAGTTCCTTATCTCCAAATTCGAGAAACCAAGTAAAAATTGAACTTTAATTTTTCTTAGAAAATGTATTCTTTGGAGAGATTTTTTGCTATAGGGTGTGGATGCTTACCAGAAAGACAGAGAGAGACAGACAGAAAGTGAGAAATCACCATCCACCCCTCCTCCCCAGGGAGGATGGCCACACCACAATCCCTTCTCTTCCATTCTCCTCTTGGGAGCTTGAGCACATGCACACGTGCTTGGCATGAGTTTAAGCCATCAGGTCTGGGACTTGCACCATGGTCAACTACATGGAAGTTCAGCGACGTAGCCATTACTCCAAATGCTGGTCCTGAAAATGTATTTTTAAGTAACTGAAAAATTAAAAAAAAAAAAAAACTTTAAAGACAGAATATATAGTGTTGGGCCTGCCTTCCTGAATAAGCGTGGACCCTAGAGCTTAAGGACCACATGTTCTACACTGGCTCTGGTCCCTAGTTACTCTGTTTTACTCATTGGCTTTCATTGCCTGTTCCTGGATGCATTCACAACCCCAAAATTAATCTGTCAATTCAAATGTGCATATTAATAAAGTCCAAAACTTTGAAGTTTTTTTGGTATAGAGTTATTACAACTTAATTATGTGTATGCAGCCTGTTTACCATGAAATGCACCTTTTCTGGTGGAAGGTTTTTTTAATTATCCTGAGTTGTTGGAAAGACATAGAAAAAATATTTCATGACTTTTCTGACAACCCAATAGTTAAAAAAATGTAACCACTAATATGTTATCATCAATCTTCCTCCTTCCAAATAATAGTAATTTAAAAAGCCATAATAAGGTTGCATTAATCCACTGCATTTTTCTAAGTTATCTCAGATGTAACTTATTTATGAAGGTGAAACTTTGATATTTTGAATTATTAATTTCATTGTCATGGTTTCTTAATTATTTATAGTTTACATACTAGTATGAGGAAAGAGAGCAAAACTCCCAATTGCAAACAGTTGCAGCATTGTTTATAATATGAAAAAGTTGTAATAGCAGATTTATATCAGTAAGGGAATATATTAAGAAAATGTAATAAATGTACCATAGAAGCAGGATAGCCTAGAATTTAAGAGTGTAGCTTTTGGACCCAGTCTGCATTTGTTTGAATCCTGATTCCTCCAGTTAACTAGCTGTGTGATCCTTGACAAGTTACTGTCTCTGTCTCAGTTTTCTCGTTTTTAAAATAAGGATGATAATAATAGTTCTACCTCACAAGGCTATTGTAAGGATTGAGCGAGTTAATGAGAATACAGATAAAATGCTTACAGCAGTGACTGATGCACAGAATGTGTTCAGTGTTAGCTCTCCCACTATTTTATTCATACTAGGAATCCCTTGTAGCAACCAAAAGAATGAGACAGAAATGGAAACTCTCCAGAGTATATTGAATGGAAGAACTTTATCTTAAATATCTTTAGGAAACACAAAAGCTATGTATCTCTGTGGGTTGTGTACATAGAAAAGGTCTGAAGGGATTGTGTTTTCCAGAACATTAGCAGTGGACAATTACGGGAATTGGAATAGGATGGGATGTAATAAAGACAGCTTTAGCTTTGTGTTGCTTGAAATTATCATCATAGGTTTGTATTGTATATTATTAATGTAATTTTAAAAAACTAAAACCATTTAAAAATATAAACTAGTGATCATAAAAACTAGCTCTAACTGTAGTTGTCTAAAAATTCCTCCCAGCTCTAAGTGTTTTAATCCTAAAATGCTAGACTTTCAAAGAGGTTTAGAATTTTATACTGTTCATTCTATAAACTTAAAAAACAAATAGAATTTGCTCACTTCTATTGCATTTTTAATTCTTTTGTTATTTCTAGGTACAAAAGAAAAATTACCGAGAAGAAAAGAAAAGAGCCACAAAGGAGTTGCTCAGTACAATCACAGATCCTTCTGTTATTGTTATGGCTGATTGGCTGAAGGTCAGTGTGTGCTGAATCTTGATGTTAACCTATTAGGATGGGGCAGCCTAGATGTACCTAAAAGCCACTAGACGGGACCAGCAGTTAGCATAATGGCTATGTTGCTGGACTCCTACGTAGTCAACCGTGGTTCGAGTCCCGGACCCGGTGACTTAAACTCATGCCGGGCGCGGATCCCAAGAGGAGAATGGAGGAGAAGGGATTGCGGTGTGGTCATCCCCCCTGGGGGGTGATTTCTCGCTTTCTGTCTCTCTGTCTCTCTCTGTCTGTCTGGCAAGCGCATGCGCCCTATAGCAAAAACCTCTTCCAAAAAAAAAAAAAAAGCCACTAGACAAAACAACTCATAAGATGATTGTCGCAAACTTAATTGTACCCATGAAGTTCCCTATTCCAGTTTTTTAATGGGGAAAAAGAACCTTAATGTCTCTCTTAGTAGCAAATATGTAGTTCTTTTTCTTTTTCTTTCTTTCTTCTTCTTTTTTTTTTTTTTTGCAAAGGTTTTTGCTATAGGGCTTGTATGCTCACCAGAAAGAGACAAAAAGCGAAAAATCAACCCCCAGGGGGAATGGCCATGCTGCAGTACCTTCTCCTCCATTTTTCTCTTGGGATCTTGGGCATGCATGCTCATGCACCAAGCGTGAGTTTAACCCACCAGGTCCAGGACTCAAACTGCGGTCGACAACATGAGAGTCCAGCGACATAGCCATTATGCCAACTGCTGGTCCCACAAATATGTAGTTCTTTTAAAAAGACTTTTTGATTTGTGTGATATTATGTTTCTAAATAGAATATGCTGTAAAAATAAAAAATATTGCCTGGTATTCAGATTATCATTGAGTATTATTATAGACTTGGTATATTCGTTTTTGAGAAAAAAATGAGACAAAGTTAATGTAAAAGTTCTTTGAACGGCATTAATTATCAGATGAACACAAATACTTTTGTCCTCTAGTTATTTTTGTTTCATTTTCTTTCATCCCAATTACCCTGTCCTCTCTTTCATTGTTACCTGAAGATAGTTGATAGGAATCTTTCAGACTAATTCTAGTTTTAGGAATGATCTTCTAATATGCTGCTCTCAGAAAGTGTTAGCTCTTGGCATTCACTTGAGAACCACCCCAGCCTTGAAAGCTTTCCATTTTCCCTAGAAATTGGTAAGGCTTATATCCCAATAACCCTTATGAGAGCCATCACAGACTCTTCTCACTAAAGTGGGAGTCCCGTCATAGTTTTCCCTCACCGTTTCTGTAATGTTAACATCTTCTTCCATCTTGTTCTGAAAATACCTTATAACTTATCTTTGACTCTTTCTAGAAATGTATTAGATCCAAATTGCTTAAAGTTAAATCTACCCTGTATTAGTCCCCAACAACACTGGCTGACTTTCTAAACCTTATCCTTATTCTGATAATCTGGCTTCTGTGTTCTACTGTCAACCTCCCCAAGATCCAAAGGAAGAAAGGGTAACTCTCTTTTTTTCACTTATCTTGTCTTACCACTTCTTTTACATAAATTACATATTTTTACTGAAAGATTTTTCTCTTCAGGTGTGGTTCCAAATTCCTCCTTTCAAAATGTTTAGGGTTACTGGTACCAGCAGTTAGGGTAATGGCTATGTCGCTGGACTCCCACGAAGTCAACAGCGGTTCGAGTCTTGGACCCGGTGGCTTAAACTCACGCCGGGTGCGTGTGCATGTGTGCCCGAGATCCAGAGAGGAGAATGGAGGAGAAGGGATTGTGGTGTGGCCATCCCCCCGGGGGGCGATTTCTCACTTTCTCTTTCTCTGTCTCTCTCTGTCTGGTGACCTCACGTGCCCTATAGCAAAAACCTCTCCAAAAGAAAAAAAAAAATGTTTAGGGTTACTGTGGTATGTCTATTTTGAGTGTCAGGAAAACTTGTATTTATTTCATCATTCTCATAAGTACACTGAGAGAACAAATGTTTTATAATAAATAAAAGAAAAGGTGATATCTGTTTCTTAATCTCAATATTAACATTCTTTTCAGTATTGTGAATTGCAGAGAAGCCATTTTAATAGATTATAGAAATAAGAATTGATAGAAAAAAAGTAGTAGTTGTAGAATTGTTATTGTCATAGCATTTAACCCTATAATGAGGAACATTTGATCAGAATAGAGATTCATGTAACTTATTCTAAAATTTCCCTCAAAACTTTATATGGTATATTTTATATAGTTACTAAAAAACAAAACTTATTTAGAGTACTGACTTTCTGGGACTAGAAAGAGGTTCTTTATTCTTCCTACCACTTACCACCTATTCGGGGAATGCCTGACATGTGCCAGCATATCTGTGTGTTTTCACACTGCCAGTGTAGTGGTGGTGGTGGGAGGAGGGCGGATTTTAAAATGCAGAGTATGATATACTCACACACAAACACCTACAGCTATGATATATGCTACAAAAAGAATCTCGGTATTATGCAAATGTATTTGAATAGCCCCTGGCCTGGTCAGAGAGGTTAGGAAAACTATTCTAATATTTAGTTCATTACTTGAAACTGTTGGCTTAGTTTCCCATTAAAATTTAAGTTTTGGGGGCTCAGGAACCATGGGATTTTTATGTCTATTTGCAGTGCTTGCCATGTAGCAACTTTTAAAATAAAAGATTCTCTTTTTTTAAAGAATCATTTTATTTAACTTTGTTTATTTATTTGTTTTTATGACCAGAGAGGGACAGAGTGAGAGAGAGAGAGAGAGAAATTGAGAAAGCAAGCTGGTAGATCTGAGACTCGAACCACAGTCAGCCATGTGGGAGTCCAGCGCCCTTATCCACCATGCCCCTGCTAGTCCCATAAATCTATTATATCTTAAGTGTACATGTTAGTGGACAGTTTTACATTTAATAATTATATTTGCCATTATCCTGTTTGTACCTTATAGAGCAGAAAGAAACAAACACATCTTTACATTTAAATAAACTTATCTTCCTATAGATTCGTGGAACTCTAAAGAGCTGGACCAAGTTGTGGTGTGTGCTGAAACCTGGGGTGCTACTGATCTATAAAACCCAAAAGAATGGTCAGTGGGTAGGAACAGTTCTTCTGAATGCCTGTGAAATCATTGAGCGTCCATCAAAAAAGGATGGCTTTTGTTTCAAACTTTTCCATCCTTTGGAGCAATCTATTTGGGCGGTGAAGGTATGTAAGGAGTTGTACAGTTAAAAGGTATAAATGACAGTTTGTGAGTTGAACTGGAATAAATCAATCAAATCATTTCTGTGCTCTGCTAGGACTTATAAATTTGTTTTTGTTTTCAAGAGCATCATTTTCTTTCTGTCCCTACTGAAATAAAATATACACCAAAAGGATTTATCTTTAAGGTCTAACTTTAAAAATTTCTTTAGAAAATGTTTCCCAAATTTATATATTGCATCTTATTATCAGGATTTAATTTATATAGTTTTTTTCAATGTATAAATTACTAACTCTGCTTTATAACTTTGTGTCATGTTTACTGTGAATGTTTTTTCTCTTTATCAAAGTGGTGAGGTCTCCTAGAAGAGAAACTGCCATTTATTTTTGTGGTCTTTCCTATAGTAATGTAAATGTGTGATAGGAAAGCTATAAGCAGAAGTAGTCCTACTTACTCTATTATTTTTTAGGAATTACTCATTTATTTTTATTTATTACCATTATTTTTAAATTTGACCAGAGAGAGAGGGAAAGTGAGAAAGCAAACCTCCAGATCTGGGACTTGAACCACAATCAGCCATCTGGGACTCCAGCGCCTTAATTACCACACCACCTACTGGCCCAGTCCTACTTACTCTTAAGAGAGGCAGACTTCTTCAAAGATGGTGCTATAATGCTTTTATAACTAAAAAGCATCTTATAGCCCTGGTCACTCCAGGGCTATAAGAGCAGAAATAAGCAGAAAAATAGCAATGCCTTTTTATTCTTTTAAATTAACTTCCAAGAAATTCTATAAACAGTAGATGTGCAATACATACTAACTGAATAAATGAGTCTAGTGTAAATCTTTACAAGGCAGTCATTGCTTTAGTTTGTAAGAAGGTTAGTTACCTTTGCATAAAGAATTGAGAACACTTCCTTGAAGGAAAACCACTTGAGATCAGAACTAACTAAAATTAGCTTCAGCCTTGTTTTTTTAATTACTTAATTAGGCAATATGCATGTGAACAGACCTTAGAAAGTTTATGAGAAAATGGAATTAAAGTATGAGTATATTTTTATGCAAAAAAATTGCAATCCATGCTTTTTTAAAAAATAATACATGTTTTTCTGTGAACTTCTTGAAGATCCTCCCTTGTACACCTAGGCAAAGATTTGGACTTTTTAATCTTTATTCAGTAATCTGAAGTCATAGCAGAAATTAAATTAATATTACAAAGGTGGTTCTATTCTGGGATTAGGTACTTCCCACAGGGGAAAAAATTGAACCCATAGAATTTCTTAATATTCATTTATCATGTGATTGTCAAGTGAAGATTACTTTCAAAACCTTTGCATATAGGGAACCAGCAGTTAGCATAATGGTTATGTCACTGGACTCCCACGTAGTCCACCGCGCTTTGCGTCCTGGACCCAGTGGCTTAAAACTCATGCTGGGCGCATGTGCGTGCGTACCCAAGATCCTGAGAGGAGAATGGAGGAGAAGGGAGTGTGGCATGACCATCCCCCCTGGGGGGTGATTTCTCACTTTCTGTCTCTATATCTCTCTGTCTGTCTGGCGAGTGCACGCGCCCTATAGCGAAAATCTCTCAAAAAAAAAAAAAACCTTTTCATATAGTATTTTGCCCTACTACTACTCTTAGGAATTGTAAGAAATATAATGAATTTTTAAAGCATTAATATTATTTTAATGTCAGATATATTTCATTCCAACTGTTGAAGGAAGAGAAAGAAATTCGTACAATAATGTGAACATCAGCATATTCTTCGCAATCAAAAGCCACTTAGGACATAATTTAAATGTCTCAAAAGCCAGTGTTTATGATTCAGAAATTAGGTAATGTTTATAAGTTGTTCATGTCAGGTATTCTTTGGCACACCTTACATGGAATATTTTATTTAATTCTCATACCTATGAGGAAGAAATAATTTCCTCCGATCATACAGATAAAGAAACTGAAGCCTGCAGAAGTTACTTAAGTAATTTTTCTATCACCAAGCCCAGATTGAAACCCAGGTATTCTGGCTCTAGGTCCTACCCTATACTGGTTGTAGAAACTGGCCTTGAGTGAACCAGCCATTTGAAAGTGCCCAGTATATTACAGTGTTTGTTAAAGTCATATTGACCTTGTTCTGCTGTATCATTTGGAACCTGCATCTTTTTTTCCTAATTTTTTTCTTGAAGTCCTTTTTATTTTTTTACCAAATAATCTTAAAGAATGCTTTTTAAAACAGCTATATTTTTTAAATTGTACTTGAGTATCAAAATTATACTATAAATTCAAAGCTTATTTTTTATTCTAGATAGGAACTATATTTACCTAAGTTTAGCCTCAGTGATACTGATTTATTTAGAGTACTGACTTTCTGGGACTAGAAAGAGGTTCTTTATTCTTCCTACCACTTACCACCTATTCGGGGAATGCCTGACATGTGCCAGCATATCTGTGTGTTTTCACACTGCCAGTGTAGTGGTGGTGGTGGGAGGAGGGCGGATTTTAAAATGCAGAGTATGATATACTCACACACAAACACCTACAGCTATGATATATGCTACAAAAAGAATCTCGGTATTATGCAAATGTATTTGAATAGCCCCTGGCCTGGTCAGAGAGGTTAGGAAAACTATTCTAATATTTAGTTCATTACTTGAAACTGTTGGCTTAGTTTCCCATTAAAATTTAAGTTTTGGGGGCTCAGGAACCATGGGATTTTTATGTCTATTTGCAGTGCTTGCCATGTAGCAACTTTTAAAATAAAAGATTCTCTTTTTTTAAAGAATCATTTTATTTAACTTTGTTTATTTATTTGTTTTTATGACCAGAGAGGGACAGAGTGAGAGAGAGAGAGAGAGAAATTGAGAAAGCAAGCTGGTAGATCTGAGACTCGAACCACAGTCAGCCATGTGGGAGTCCAGCGCCCTTATCCACCATGCCCCTGCTAGTCCCATAAATCTATTATATCTTAAGTGTACATGTTAGTGGACAGTTTTACATTTAATAATTATATTTGCCATTATCCTGTTTGTACCTTATAGAGCAGAAAGAAACAAACACATCTTTACATTTAAATAAACTTATCTTCCTATAGATTCGTGGAACTCTAAAGAGCTGGACCAAGTTGTGGTGTGTGCTGAAACCTGGGGTGCTACTGATCTATAAAACCCAAAAGAATGGTCAGTGGGTAGGAACAGTTCTTCTGAATGCCTGTGAAATCATTGAGCGTCCATCAAAAAAGGATGGCTTTTGTTTCAAACTTTTCCATCCTTTGGAGCAATCTATTTGGGCGGTGAAGGTATGTAAGGAGTTGTACAGATAAAAGGTATAAATGACAGTTTGTGAGTTGAACTGGAATAAATCAATCAAATCATTTCTGTGCTCTGCTAGGACTTATAAATTTGTTTTTGTTTTCAAGAGCATCATTTTCTTTCTGTCCCTACTGAAATAAAATATACACCAAAAGGATTTATCTTTAAGGTCTAACTTTAAAAATTTCTTTAGAAAATGTTTCCCAAATTTATATATTGCATCTTATTATCAGGATTTAATTTATATAGTTTTTTTCAATGTATAAATTACTAACTCTGCTTTATAACTTTGTGTCATGTTTACTGTGAATGTTTTTTCTCTTTATCAAAGTGGTGAGGTCTCCTAGAAGAGAAACTGCCATTTATTTTTGTGGTCTTTCCTATAGTAATGTAAATGTGTGATAGGAAAGCTATAAGCAGAAGTAGTCCTACTTACTCTATTATTTTTTAGGAATTATTCATTTATTTTTATTTATTACCATTATTTTTAAATTTGACCAGAGAGAGAGGGAAAGTGAGAAAGCAAACCTCCAGATCTGGGACTTGAACCACAATCAGCCATCTGGGACTCCAGCGCCTTAATTACCACACCACCTACTGGCCCAGTCCTACTTACTCTTAAGAGAGGCAGACTTCTTCAAAGATGGTGCTATAATGCTTTTATAACTAAAAAGCATCTTATAGCCCTGGTCACTCCAGGGCTATAAGAGCAGAAATAAGCAGAAAAATAGCAATGCCTTTTTATTCTTTTAAATTAACTTCCAAGAAATTCTATAAACAGTAGATGTGCAATACATACTAACTGAATAAATGAGTCTAGTGTAAATCTTTACAAGGCAGTCATTGCTTTAGTTTGTAAGAAGGTTAGTTACCTTTGCATAAAGAATTGAGAACACTTCCTTGAAGGAAAACCACTTGAGATCAGAACTAACTAAAATTAGCTTCAGCCTTGTTTTTTTAATTACTTAATTAGGCAATATGCATGTGAACAGACCTTAGAAAGTTTATGAGAAAATGGAATTAAAGTATGAGTATATTTTTATGCAAAAAAATTGCAATCCATGCTTTTTTAAAAAATAATACATGTTTTTCTGTGAACTTCTTGAAGATCCTCCCTTGTACACCTAGGCAAAGATTTGGACTTTTTAATCTTTATTCAGTAATCTGAAGTCATAGCAGAAATTAAATTAATATTACAAAGGTGGTTCTATTCTGGGATTAGGTACTTCCCACAGGGGAAAAAATTGAACCCATAGAATTTCTTAATATTCATTTATCATGTGATTGTCAAGTGAAGATTACTTTCAAAACCTTTGCATATAGGGAACCAGCAGTTAGCATAATGGTTATGTCACTGGACTCCCACGTAGTCCACCGCGCTTTGCGTCCTGGACCCAGTGGCTTAAAACTCATGCTGGGCGCATGTGCGTGCGTACCCAAGATCCTGAGAGGAGAATGGAGGAGAAGGGAGTGTGGCATGACCATCCCCCCTGGGGGGTGATTTCTCACTTTCTGTCTCTATATCTCTCTGTCTGTCTGGCGAGTGCACGCGCCCTATAGCGAAAATCTCTCAAAAAAAAAAAAAACCTTTTCATATAGTATTTTGCCCTACTACTACTCTTAGGAATTGTAAGAAATATAATGAATTTTTAAAGCATTAATATTATTTTAATGTCAGATATATTTCATTCCAACTGTTGAAGGAAGAGAAAGAAATTCGTACAATAATGTGAACATCAGCATATTCTTCGCAATCAAAAGCCACTTAGGACATAATTTAAATGTCTCAAAAGCCAGTGTTTATGATTCAGAAATTAGGTAATGTTTATAAGTTGTTCATGTCAGGTATTCTTTGGCACACCTTACATGGAATATTTTATTTAATTCTCATACCTATGAGGAAGAAATAATTTCCTCCGATCATACAGATAAAGAAACTGAAGCCTGCAGAAGTTACTTAAGTAATTTTTCTATCACCAAGCCCAGATTGAAACCCAGGTATTCTGGCTCTAGGTCCTACCCTATACTGGTTGTAGAAACTGGCCTTGAGTGAACCAGCCATTTGAAAGTGCCCAGTATATTACAGTGTTTGTTAAAGTCATATTGACCTTGTTCTGCTGTATCATTTGGAACCTGCATCTTTTTTTCCTAATTTTTTTCTTGAAGTCCTTTTTATTTTTTTACCAAATAATCTTAAAGAATGCTTTTTAAAACAGCTATATTTTTTAAATTGTACTTGAGTATCAAAATTATACTATAAATTCAAAGCTTATTTTTTATTCTAGATAGGAACTATATTTACCTAAGTTTAGCCTCAGTGATACTGATTATTAGAGATGCTATATACTTCTAAAACAAATAATCACAGCCAACAATGACAAAATTCATTTTTCTTTTCTATTTCTAGAAAAATAAATTTATTTTTATAGTTGGGCATTAGAAATAAGTATATCATTATTTGTAAAATAGAGATTTATTTTTCCTGAGATCTAATCAAAATTTATTCCTGTTTTTCTTGTAAATTATGATATGTCAAACTGTTTTCTTTAGGGTTTTAGAAATTTGTTATTTCTTAGCTAGTATCTGGAATGGAAGATGAGTCTAGTATGTTTTTAATTTTTCTTATATTAAAATCTTGTTTAGTATTATGAATTTAGGGTTCTTTTTAGTGTTTGAGCAATATGTAGAGATAATGTGTAAGTGACAATAACTATAATTTGTAGTTTTCTGTTCAGGAGTTGTGTGTGTTGGAAAAGAAAATAGTATACATTGCATTTTGAAAAAGGATGAAATGAAAGTTTGCTTTGAAATTATAATCTATTACTGATTTTTGTTTTTACAGATAATACAGAATAATACAGACTTGAGATCTCTTCATTCTTGCTCTGCATCATTTATTTTGTTTATGTTGTTTTTAAGGGTCCAAAAGGGGAAGCAGTTGGATCTATAACTCAGCCCTTACCCAGCAGTTATTTGATCATCAGAGCTACTTCAGAGTCAGATGGTAAATATACTTTCGCATAGGTTGGATTTGGCCTCCTTTTTTAAGGGTTTGTTTTACATGTGACTTTGTATTGTCCTTGGGACAAATCCGTGACATGCAGCAGAAGCATTGTGATCAAATTGCTTAGAACACTTTATCAGTAACAAACAGGGAAATTTGATAGGAAGGAATCCTGGTATAATTGAAGATGAGTTAGCCACTCAGTTTTTTTCATCTTCCTTTTTGATTTATTAGTGTTCTCTGTGGCAGTTTATCAAGTTTTAATCATTTTACAGATATATTTAATACTACTTACAGTTTATCATTAAATAGTAACACTTGTCAGACACATGTACACTGGGTATTTTTTCAGAATTATTTATTTAATTTTAAAATTTATTACTGTTATTTAATTTGCCATAGGGTATGCACATTCACCAGAGAGAAAGAAATTGAAAAAGCAAGCCTCCACGTCTGGGACTTGAACTGCAGTCAGCCATGTGGGAGTCCAGCACCATAACTACCATGCCATCTGCTGGCTCATTTAGTATTTTTAATATAAGACCATTCTTTTTTTTCTTTCAAGAGAAATTATTGCTGTAGGGCATGTGCCCTCACCAGAGAGAGAGACAGAGACAGAAAGTGAGAAATCTCCCCCCAGGGGGCTGGCCACACCACAGTCCCTTCTCCTCCATTCTTTTGGCACATGTGTCTGGTTTTAAGCTGCCAGGTCTAGGACTCGAACCATGGTTGACTATGTGGGAGTCCAGTGACGTAACCATTATGCCATCTGCTGGTCCCAAGACCATTCTTAACTCATAAGCATATATGGAGAGAGCAAAGCATTTGTATTAAAGCGAAACAACTTTAAAACCTTGATAACTGATAGTGGACTTCTTCCTTACTTCCATGTTTCATAGTTTCATAGCCTAATATAGGGAATATTGAAACGTTACAAAATTTACTTTTTTTTTTCTTTATTGGAGTAAAGGGGAAACACACACAAACACACACACACACACACTCACACACACACCATGGGTAATGGTCACACTGCAGTTTCTTCTCCATTTCCTTCTCCTTTCAGGATTTTAGGCACACATGCACTTGTGTATAGTATGCCTTTCTGGTGGCTGGGTCTGGGACTTGAACTGTCTGGTCAGCCATGGGGGATCCAGCTGTTTTAACTACTATACCATTGGCTGGCTCACCAACACTTTTATCAGATGATGATTTTTTTGAATTAAAATATAGGCACAAAGTTTTACTATGAGAATTTTCACTTGACTGATATTTCTAGCAGATCTTAAAAGAAATAATACACTTGAAGTTGCTGCTTAGCAAGTTAAGGCCACATAAGAGTCCTAGGTTCAATTCCTAGCCCACCCTAAATAACATATCATAATGGTATGCACCTCTAAATCCCAGAAACTTGGGAGGCTAAGGCAGGAGGATTGTGACACAGCAAGACTCTGTTTAAAGACAAACAGCACATGTATGTACACACATATACACCACAAAAAACTTTAAAAATATAAAATAAAGTGTTTAATGTTTTCTTAACTAACATGGCAGTTATGTAGGTATTTACCTGACTTAAAAATTATCATGTAATTAGAATGAATTACAAGCCTGGAGATAGATCTCCTAGTAGTATCCTATTTGTAGTTTTATCTCCTACACTGCTTATTCCTTAGAATTAATACTAAACAACAAAATTCATGCAAGTATCCAAGATCTGCATGATCTTGGCTAAGCACTGGAGGAAGGGATCGTGGCATGACTAGACAACAAGGAGGGTACTTCTTTTCTCTCTCTCACTAATACATGTAAATGCACTCTACCATGAACGAAGAAGAAGATTTTAAAACAGCACATCATTATGTTTTGTTTTTATTTTATTTTATTTTATTTTATTTTATTATTTGGAGAGGTTTTTGCTATAGGGCACTCACCAAAAAGACAAGAGACAGAGAGACAGAAAGTGAGAAATCACCCCCCAAGGGGGGATGGCCACACCACAATCCCTTCTCCTCCATTCTCCTCTCGGGATCTTGATCACGCACGCACACACACCTGGCATGAGTTTAAGCCACTGGGCCCAGGATTTGAACAGTGGTTGACTACATGGGAGTCCAGCAACATAATTATTATGCCATCTGCTGGTCCCAAGACATTATTTTAGATAGTTTTTTATAATAGAAACATAACTCCCTTAGTATATTTTTTGTACATTACTTGGTATCTTCAAATTATGTGCATGTTAATGTTATACAGTTTGAGAATTAAATTTATTTAAATTGGGTAGACTTTCTAAGACATACTGTGTATTGTTCCTTTATCAGTGGTTTCTTGATGCTTAGTATGTAAAAAAGCATTTGTAAGACTGAAGATTGCTTGTAAGAAGTTGTAGCAAGTTCTTACATTCAAATTACTTTTTCTCAGAGATATAACAGTATATTAAAAGGTAACAGGCTAAACAAAAGTGGTTTCTAGTTTCATGTTTTCTTTAGTCATACTGCTTATGAATCTGTGTTCTAGGAAGGTGCTGGATGGATGCTTTGGAATTGGCATTGAAATGTTCTAGTCTTCTTAAACGTACCATGATCAGGGAAGGAAAGGAACACGACCTGAGCATTTCATCAGAGAGCACACATGTGACTTTGTATGGCTTATTACGTGCTAACAATCTCCACAGCGGTGACAACTTCCAGTAAGTAGATACTACCAATAAGTTGGTAAAAATTTCAGAGACTGCGTTATTTACTAGGCTAGTTGGCAGGCCTAGAATTTTAGTAGTATACCTAGGATTGAATTTTGTCTTCCTTGCCACTATGTGGCCTGAGGCCTGGTTTAAAATTTATTTAGACCCTGCAATCAGGTGTAGAAATTTATTTCCTTGATTCCAGTCAGTTCAAATTATTTTAAATTCCCCAAATACAACTATGCTAACTAGTCATGGTGTTCCTTTCTTTAAGAATGATTTCTACTTTGTCCTGTTACGATTCCATTCTTCCACATTAGTCACAAATAATACATCATACGTGAAACCTTTTCTGCCTGACAACAAAGAGATGTACTCTATCTGGTTATTGCTATTCTATAGCACTTATTTTCAAACAGCACTGGACATACTCTACCTGGTATTCGTGGAATTTTTCTCATATTGTGTTTTGAGTGGGAACAGTATCCTACACCATTTCTTCTTTAGTGATTACTAAAAATGTGTTTCTCTGGGAAACTGAGCAGCAGTGCAGAATTTTTGGAGGTTTGGGTCTTGTTTGTTGCTTTGTCTGCAAAAATTAGACTCCCTTTTTCTTCCTTTTCTCTGCCCTTTAGCTTCTGTATTATAACCCAAGCTGACCATTTTTTTCCCTATCCTTCCAGTGTTTTCTTTCTTTGTTTGTTTTTAAACTCTCTTTAAAAAAACTTCTATTACCTGACCTTTTACATACTTTTTTTTGGAGGCCTACAGTCTGTAGCTTTATCTTAATCTCAAGTACCTGGAGCCTAAATGCGATAGAATATGGGAGTAGATGAGGAACTAATATAAGAAATTTCTTGGGATCAACAAGATTTTTCTTTTTTTATACAGAGTATTTTCTCTAATCACTTGAAGTCAAGAGTAGGATATAGCAGAACTTACTAATTTTAGGTTGTAGGTTCATTTCCTTAAACTAAAATTTCTAATTCTATTTTTTTCTAGGATTAAACCTATCACACAATCATTAACTAGAATTCACTACAGTTCCTTACATTTTACATTTTATTTAATCTTGAATTATTTTGGGTGACTTTGGAGACCTTTACAGGTGAAAAGTTATAATTGATTTGAATTTACTTGGGAATCTGATGATCATGACTTGAATTTTTTCTTCAGATCTAAAGTGACACTAAGGTTGATTCAAGAGATAATGTTTTTAAAATGAAGAAAAAAATTCCAGCAAGAGATGAGAGTCAAAAATTTTGTTTTTGGAATATTTTTTATCTCCTAGCGGTAGAGAGGCAGAGTTCAGAGCATTGTCTTTTAACATTGACCCAGGTTTTTCATCTGTCATCTCTATGCCTCTGTTTACTAGTTTGTAAAATGAGAATGATAATGTTACCTATCTCATAGGGTTATTTTGAGGATTGAGTTAAACTGTATAAAATACTTAGTGTCTAATGCATACTATATTCTCAATAAATGTTACATGTTCTTATTTATAAATTGTATATCCTTAACGTCTTTTATTCTTCTTTCTAATAATTCTCCCCCTTAAGGTTAAATGATAGTGAGATTGAACGACAGCATTTTAAGGACCAAGATATGTATTCTGATAAATCAGACAAAGAAAATGATCAAGAACATGATGAGTCTGACAATGAAGTGATGGGGAAAAGTGAAGAAAGTGACACGGATACATCAGAGAGGCAGGATGACTCCTACATCGAACCTGAACCTGTTGAGCCTTTAAAGGAGACCACCTACACTGAACAGAGCCATGAAGAACTTGGAGAGGTGAAAGTCTTATTTTCAGAGAGTCTGGTTCTAATTCTTGGGGATTTTCACATGAAATTGAAAGACTTTATTTGCTTTGCCTATTAATTACTTTCCCATAGGAGATATAGATAAACCTATTTTATTTTAAAAGTGGCATACATGTGAGGAACCAGCAGTTAGCGTAGTGGCTATGTCGCTGGACTCCCACGTAGTTGACCGCGGTTCACGTCCTGGACCCGGTGGCTTAAAACTCACACCAGGTGTGTGTGCGTGCGTGCCCAAGATCCCGAGAGGAGAATGGAGGAGAAGGGATTGCGGCGTGACCATCCCCCCTGGGGGAGTGATTTCTCACTTTCTGTCTCTGTGTCTCTGTCTGGCGAGCGTACGCGCCCTCTAGTGAAAACCTCTCCAAAAAAAAAAAAAAAAAGTGGCATACACGTGAAACATATTAGAATCTATAAACAACTGAACACATACACAAACACCAATATACACTATTCATGTTCACATTTTCCTCAGCTTTTCTTTTGAAATAGGATGCTACTTGATGTTGTTGCCAGGTGGGAAGTAAATTTCAAGGAAACCTTGAGTTTATTCCTTTCTTCTTATTGCCAATACATATAAGAAAATATCCATTAATAGGGTAAAATGTTTTTGTTTAAGACTTTGTTACTTAAAGAGTCATTTCCACATTTTAAGGATGCTCAGAGTAGTCCTGGAGAAAATTAATATTTCCAACATTAGTTATCTTATTTATCTACATGTTTGAAATAAATATTTCAATATTTTTTATTAATTACTAAAGGCAGGTGAGGCTTCTCAAACAGAAACTGTGTCTGAAGAAAACAAAAGCCTTATCTGGACACTGCTGAAACAAGTTCGTCCTGGAATGGATCTGTCCAGGGTGGTTCTGCCTACCTTTATTTTGGAGCCACGGTCCTTCCTAGATAAACTTTCAGATTACTACTATCATGCAGATTTCCTGTCTGAGTAAGTACATTCTTATATCTTAAAATAGAAGATATTTCATGATTTTAGAGATTCTCAGAAGTACAGTTTTCAATGCAGTTTTCAATTGTGCCTTTCCAAAATCAGGCTTTTAATGAGCATATTTAATATCTTGTTGCAAATATTCCCATTTGCGAAGTTGAACTCAGACTTGAAGAAGGCAAGGATGCTATTCCTCACCCAACAACACAATATTATAGGCTCCTAGACCTCTTTGGTAACTTGACAAGAGGTGGCTGGTGTAATTTGTTCTCCACCACCTAAGCCCTCCAATTGAGTCCCATCCAGGGCTTGTGCTGTTGTTCATGCCTGTCTCTACGTGCTGATGGGACATGTGTAGCCTAACACAACTAGAATGCTGCACCAGTTGCTGGCTTTTGACAAAAATTTCTTTACTTTTCTTCTGGGGGAATAAGAGGATCTAGCAGCTGATCCTAGGCATGACTCTAAAAAGCAGGCCCCAGGAGGCAGGGGAGGAACTGTCCATTTCTGTCCTAACAGTTTCTTGGAGAACCCATAAATTTTGCAGAGAACAACAACTTTGAGCCTACTTTTCCAAGTTTCAGCTGCTGCCCCATTCTAGCAGCAGTGGTGTTTCAAGGCACTGTATTTTCTGTGATACAGAGGTCTGGCCCTGTCACCTAATTTTTAGACTCAGTCTTAATATCTGTTTTTAGTTTGTCTATTAATTGCATGAATGAACACTGCAAACAAACAAAAGAAATAATTAGGTAAGTTAAAAGGTAATTGATAAACTGTGGGGAAACTTTTGCACATTGTATTATAAGCCAATTAATCTCATTAAAATAAAAGAGCTCTTAGAAATTCAATGAAAATGGGGACCAGCAGTTGGCATAATGGCTATGTCACTGGACTCCCATGTAGTCGACCATGGTTCGAGTCCCAGACCCAGTGGCTTAAACTCATGCGGGGCGTGTGTGGAGGAATATCCACAATCCCGAGAGGAGAACGGAGGAGAAGGTATTGTGGTGTGACCATCCTCCCTGGGAGTGATATCTCACTTTCTCTCTCTGTCTCTGTCTTTCCTGCAAACACACATGCCCTATAGCCAAAATCTCTCCGAAAAATAAATAAATAATTTTTTTAAAAAGGAAATTGAATGAAAATGATTAGCAACCTAAAGAAAAAGGAAGAAATGAAGAATATAAATAGTCCTTAAACAGATAAAACTGATGTACAATAAGAAATGAAGAAATATAAATAGTCCTTAAACAGATAAAACTGATGTACATTAAGAAAAATATAGTTTCAAATTATAATAAAGTACTGTTGTTCATCACATTGATAAAATGTCCAGGAGATTTTAAACCTCAGTTCTGCCTTACGTATCTTATAGTTCTTTCTTTTATGTGTCTAGAAGTAATTTATCTCAGAAAATAAGGCAAGTTTCTGTAATGATATTAAGATCTTGAAAGACACTGATTTTCCAAATAAATAGGTCAAATTTTCTCCAACACACACTGTTGTCAAGGCTTTATGGAGAAATGGGCTTTCCCATACATATACCCCACAGTGATACAAATTGGGACACGGTCTTTGAAGAGGATCTGGTTGTATTTACCACATTACAGATACATTTAGCCTTTGATCCACTTACCCTACTTCTGGCAATAATTCCTAGAAATATAACTCCACAGTACAAACTGACATATATATAAGATTGTTGCACAGAGTTTCTAACAGTAAAACTTTATATATAACCTAGGTTCAGCCATACCTGACTGGTTAATTAATATGTGGAATATTCACACATAAAAGGAAGAGCTCTATAAACTGATAGGAAGGGACTTCTAAGATTGTGTGTGTGTGTGTGTGTGTGTAAAAAGCAAGATATAGAAGAATATGTGTAGTTTGCTACCTTTTTTTTTCCAGAAAAAGACAGGACTGTATATTTATATTTGCTGTTTATACTTCTTTTCTTTTCTTTTTTTTTTTTTTTTGGAGAGATTTTTCACTATAGGGCACGTGCACTCACCAGACAGACAGAGAGAGACATAGAGACAGCGAGAAATCACCCCCCAGGGGGGATGGTCACGCCGCAATCCCTTCTCCTCCATTCTCCTCTTGGGATCTTGGGCATGCACGCACATGCGCCTGGCGTGTGTTTTAAGCCACTGGGTCTGGGACGCGAACCACGGTCGACTACGTGGGAGTCCAGTGACATAGCCATTATGCTAACTGCTGGTTCCCTGCTGTTTATGCTTAAAGAGAGCTTTTTTTTTTTTTGGAGAGGTTTTTGCTATAGGGTGTGTGCGCTCACCAGAAAGAGAGAGAGAGACAGAGAGACAGAAAGCGAGAAATCACCCCCCAGGGGGGATGGCCACACCACAATTCCTTCTCCTCCATTTTCCTCTCAGGATCTTGGGCATCTGCACACACACATGCCCGGTGTGAGTTTAAGCCACCAGGTCTGGGACTGAGACGGCGGTCGACTACATGGGAGTCCAGCCAACATAGATAGCCATTATACTAACTGCTGATCCCTAAAGAAAGCTTTTTAAAAAAGCATTCTGTGGTTGAAACTGAAAGACTAAAGGATATAGAAACAAAAAAAGGTTATAGATACTGGAAACAGTGTGGGAAGAGGGTGGGAAAAGGAGGAGAGTCTGAAGAAAGACATTAAGGTGAAAAATAGAGAGGCAAGGCATTTATGGGACACAGAAATGGTTTATTATCTATTGATTATAATGTGTATAGTATCCCCAGCTGGAATAGTGAGAAATGTATTTATGTTGGAACATTTAATTTATAAGCTAAGTGATGCATGGGTATGAATGTGTAAAATAAATTAAATTAAAATAAAATATATTTTAAAAAGGTACTTATAGGAGGTAAATGGCAGCAGTGTGGAAAGATGTGGCTATATACGAAGGCATGTACTTCTTTATATTGCCTTGACTTTTAAAGTGTATATTGAGTTGTCCAAAAGTCATGAAACAGAAAAATAGAAAAAATTGTATGACTTTTCCAATGACCCAATATATGTAAAACTTAAAAATAAAATTGTATATTGAGATCATTTAAACCAAGATAGGAAGGGAGCATATTGGAGGCCTGTTACTCTAGAAAAATGCAACCTTACAATTCAGCTGAGTGCCAGTTAGCCTAAGTCTAGTCTTTTCCATCTCACATCTCATGTTCAAAAATCACATGGAACTGCCAGACGTACTTGGGAAGTACAAAAACCTTCTTGTTAGTAATAAATAGCTGTATTACAAATTGGAAAAGCCATTCTCAGTAAAATTTACTTCTGACAAATACAGTCCATGTTTTTCAGTGGTTGCAACAACAGCAAAATGGCAGGAGGGCAACTAAAACATAGTTCCTATCAACTTTTTCATTAAAACGAAAATTACTCTTTGATTATCTGTTTTACTGGTAGAATTTTTTTCTTTGGAAATTGGTTGGTAGCAAATATAAGGGGGAGTTGAGGGACTGGCAGTTGGCGTAATGGCTGTGTTGGCTGGACTCCCATGTAGTCTCCCGTTGTTCGAGTTCCAGACCCGGTGACTTAAACTCATGCTGAGCATGTGTGTGTGCATGTTCAAGATCCCAAGAGGAGAATGGAGGAGAAGGGACTGCGATGTGGCCATCCCCCCTCGGGGATGATTTCTTGCTTTGTCTCTCTGTCTTTCTGGTGAGCACATGTGCCCTATAGCAAAAACCACTCAAAAAAAAAAAAGTGTGTGTGTGTGTGTGTGTGTGTGTGTGTGTGTGTGGGTGTGTGTGTGTAAGGGGAGGTTGAAGGATAAAACCAGTATAGGGTTGAAACTGCTTTGAGTTCAGTTTTATTCTTCTTTCCTAGGTGCAATTTGAAACTTCTGTATTTGGATAGGGCCTGCAAACCCATACAATTCTATAATTTAAGGGAGGTAATTCTCCTGAGAGAAGCTGACAGCAGTCATATTGTCCTTCCTTGCCTGTACTATTGCACTCACCAGCTATCATTGATTCCTTCTAACATCAACTACTGGTAATGGTCTTAACAAAGTGAACATTGGTCCTTCCTTGACATACGGGCTGAAGGCCTCTAACAAAATTGTTAATGGGATTGCTTGGCCACTGCCTATCTTTGCATGTGATCGGTATTACATAGTGCACAAATCTCAAAATCCGTGTTTATTAGTTTAATCACAATTTCTCACAGAACCCCTTGCAACATCTCAAGTTCCACAGAACCCCACTTGAGAACTCTAGCTCTCTATAGTTTCTCAAAACTGCTTTAGCAAAAACCTAGGCGGTGTTTGGGATCAGCAGATGGCATAATGATTACATCAGTGGACTCCCACATAGTTGACTGTGGTCCGAGTCCCAGACCCAGCAGCATAAAACTCATGCTGGGGGGACCAGCAGTTAGCGTAATGGCTATGCCGCTGAACTCTCATGTAGCTGACCGCAGTTCATGTCCGAGACCCGGTGGCTTAAATTCATGCTGGGCGCATGTGTGTGCATGCCCAAGATCCTGAGAGGAGAATGGAGGAGAAGGGATTGCGGTGTGGCTATTCCCTCTGGGGGTGATTTCTCTCTTTCTGGCGAGCGCACATACCCTATGGCAAAAAAAAAACAAAAACAAAAAAACTCTCCAAGAAAAAAAACTCATGCTAGGCACACGTATGTATATGCCCAAAATCCCTAGAGGAGAATGGAGGAGAAGGGATTGCAGCATGGCCATCCCCCCTTGGGAGCGGGATGATTTCTTGCTTTCTGTCTCTCTGTCTCTCCAGCTAGCACACACACCCTAAAGCAAAAATCTCTCTCTCAAAAAAAATCCCTAGGCAGCCTTTGAAGGATAGGAAAAATAGGGAGAAAAGCAACCAGATTTAGGAATAAGAGTCTTGTAAATTAATTTACATGGTTGTATTTGTCATCTATTTTAAATATGACTTATGTTTTCTGATCATATCTCATTATCTCATACTCAGTTATTGACTAATAAATATGGGGGAGAATTTGTGATACATTCTGTAAAGTGTTTGTGTTTACCTTCTTGTTCACTAGGGCTGCTCTTGAAGAAAATCCTTATTTCCGTTTGAAGAAAGTAGTGAAATGGTATTTGTCAGGATTCTACAAAAAGCCAAAGGTAATATTTATATTTTACTTTTATGAGTTCATTTTTTAATGTAATATTTAGATGATTTTTAACAGTCACATTACTGCACCTCTTTAGGTTACTGCCAAGTACTTGATTATTTAGACCTATATTATAATTGCAGTCACTAAATTTTATTTCATGTAAATTTCATTTGCTATGAAAATTTATAAAGATGACTACCAGATGATACAGTGAAGCCTATTTTGACTGTTTAGAAATATTTTAATTTTTTCTTATTAGTAATTTGAAACTTGTGTGTTTTTCATTAGGGTCTGAAGAAACCTTATAATCCTATACTTGGTGAGACTTTCCGTTGCCTATGGATTCATCCAAGAACAAACAGCAAAACTTTTTACATTGCTGAACAGGTATAAGAAATGCATTTTACACGGGGCCAGCAGGTGGCATGGTGGTTAGTGGCACCTGACTCCTACATGGGTGACCATGGTTCGATTCCCAGACTTGGCAGCTTGCTTTCTCAAATTCTCTCTCTCTCACTCTCACTCTGTCCCTGTCTGGTCAAATTAAAATAAATAAATATATAAAAGTAAATAAAATGATTCTTTAAATATTAAAAAATCCATGTTACAGAAACAAAATTGATCTAGGAGTTATTGGGATATTTTACAGAAATATTAATTAATGGGACCAGCAGGTGGTGTGGTAGTTAAGGTGCTGAACTCCCACATGGCCGAAAACTGTTCTAGTCCTAGACCTGGTGACTTGAAACTCACACTGGGCATATGTGCATGCCTACCCAGAATCCCAGAAGGGAAATGGAGGAGAAAGGATTATGGTATAGCCATCCCTCTCGGGGGTGATTTCTCACCTTCCCTCTCACTGTCTCTGACTGGCAAGCACACATACCCCATGGCAAAAACCTTTAAAAAAATAAAATAACTAAAGTAAATTTGGTAAGCATTTAACTTTTTTATACTAAATACTACCAAAATACTGTTAAATGCCATATTCCTCAAGTGTTATTAGTTACAGTCATGGAATTCTTAGGTGGAAAATAAATCTTTATTTTTCTTTCCCTTCCGTATTTTCTAGCCACATCCATATTTCCAAAACACGTTTTGATCATGTACAAAATTATTCAGTGGTTCTCTAGTTCTGAAATTCAATTTACACTCATTTTTCTAGCATTTATGGTCCTCCATTTCTTTCCAAATTTATCTCACATTAAACACTTATCTAGGCCTCTAGTAGTGAAACCTATGCATTCATAGCCACATTCTTGCTTTATTATTTTTAAATTTAATTCTCCCACCCCAATATTTCTTGTCACCTATAGATACGAACCCTGATCTGCTCATTCTTCTCAATCCAGATTACTACCACTCCCAGGGATTTTTTTTCTTAAATTTGGGCTATTTTTGTTGATTTTACATTAGGTGATTCTTTTATCACTTAAATTATTTACCTTTTTACAGAATCTTTATTTTCCGAATTTAATTTTACCTTTTTGAGGGTGTATCCCCTTCCTTCCCCAATGACACATTTTTTTGTTATTGTTGTATGCATAGTAGATAGAAACTATTTCTTGTTTTTGAACTTTGATTAATTTAAATTTATGTACATCGGTAGTCTCAATCTTCTCCTCTATCTGCATAGACCTGAGGAATATGACATTCTCAATGACATTAGTTCCTTATTATAATTTTTATTTTAGGAGGATGAGGAAACCATGTGTTCTTTGAAAAACCATTCATTTCTGAAGATTTGTATATACCTGTCAGGTTGAAATCACTTGTTTATATTAATTTTTGAAAAAGTTAACGATTATACCACATTAGTTCTTAACAAAATTAAGAAGCTCAAGAAGAGTTTAGCTGATTTTAGCTTTTTTTGATTTCAGAAAACATAAAATATAAATATATTGAAAACATTAGATGATTAAAGTAACATACTTGGCAAAGCATTTGTTTATTTTTTGCAGCCATTTCTGTAGTTCACATGAAGAATAACCACTCTATTAATTATCCATTGCTATGTAAAAAATTAATGCCAAAACTGAATGAGTTAAAACAACTTTGATTATCTTGTGTAATAAATTTAGAATTGTGAGAGCTCCCTAACTGTGTGGTTCTAGCTCAGGGTCTTTCATTAGACTGCTGTCAAGATGTTAGCTATCTTTGCTATCGTCCATGGGCTTGAATGGACTGGAAGATTCACTTTACTTCATCATGTGGCTATCGACAAGAGAAAATAGTTCCTCACCATTTGGTCCATGCCTAAGATTTTTTCAGTGTGGAAGCTGGCTTCTCAGAGCTAATAATCGAGGTAGGGGGAGAAGTTGGAGAGTCTCCAAGATGGAAGCTACATTATAGCCTAACTTCAGAAGTGACATACCATCACTTCCACACAACCCATCTTTGGTACAGAGTAAGAGGGTCCTTCCTAGTGGTGTGAATACCAGGTGGTTAGTTTCCTTGAGCCCTAAGAGGCTGGTTACCATACCATCAATATTTAATTTCACTACTTACCAAATGTTTCTTCTTACTCATATAAGACTTGACCTTCAGATAGTAGCACAATAATATGCTTATCTTGCTATATTTTGTTTTGTCCTGTGTTCAATAGGTGTCTCATCATCCACCAATATCTGCCTTTTATGTTAGTAACCGAAAAGATGGATTTTGCCTTAGTGGTAGTATCCTGGCCAAGTCCAAGTTCTATGGTGAGTTTCTCCTTATGCCAACCTGCACCCTTTCCTGGGAGGTAGTATTTCTTGGGGCTATGTCAACAGTGTGCTATTTTCAACAAGGAATTTATCATCTTCTCTTGAATATTGACCTTTCTTGCCCATTCATAAATAGAGGTATGGCTTATTTCATGTAAGTATTTATCACATATCTGTAAATTCATCATAGACATCACTTATGAAAGGACAGAATGATTGCTTGTTGTAACCCTTTAGTTTATAATGTGTCTCTTTTCCCCTTAGCCCTACCAAGATTTGTTTGTTTGCTTGATTTTTGTTTTTTTAATTTCATCTCAGCTTACCTAAAGGAATCAATCTTTCTATTTTAGTCTTTGGATAGAGAGAAAAAGAATTCAGGCACAGTTAGGATACGTGATACAAGGTTAATCAGTAATGAACCCTCAGACCAAACATAACCAATAAAAATTTTTGCAAGTACAGGGAAAAACAGAGAAATATAGTTACAGAAGAAAACTTTAATACAAAAAGTTTGACTGTTAAAAAATTTGTGACCCGGGAACCAGCAGTTAGCATAATGGCTATGTTGCGGGACTCCCACGTAGTTGAACGTGGTTCGCGTCCCGGACCCGGTGGCTTAAAACTCACGCCGGGCACGTATGCATGCGTGCCCAAGATCCTGAGAGGAGAATGGAGGAGAAGGGATTGCGGCGTGACCATCCCCCTGGGGGGTGATTTCTCGCTTTCTGTCTCTATGTCTCTGTCTGTCTGGCGAGCGCATGCACCCTATAGTGAAAACCTCTCAAAAAAAAAAAAAAAAAAAAACAATTTGTGACCCAAGTAATATACCAGTAGAAAATATTTAACCATAGGGCTGGCAGGTGGAGTGATGGTCAAGGCACTGAAGTCCTACATGGTCAACATGGTTCAAGTCCTGGACCTGGTGGCTTACTATCTCACTTTTTCTCTCTTTCTCTCTCTGTTCAAATTAAAAAATAAATAAATAAGTCTTCATAAAAGAGAAAGAAATATATAACATCAGTGCTTTTAGTTGTTTTTCTCTTTTACATTTTTAAAAGGAAAGAAATCAATTAAATTTCCACTATAGAATTTTAAACATGAGAGGAAAAATAATGGGAAAAATAAAATATGTAAACAGGAAACCAAGGTCTGATTATCTGAGAGTGGGGAGATGAGTCTGTGACCGGGAAATCGATGAGTAGGTTTTGGTCAGAAGCATGTTATATGCTTTTGATTTTTTTTCTTAAGGATATTTTATTTCCCTTGGTGCTTTTTTGTTTGTTTGTTTTGGGTTTGGGTTTTTTGCCTTTGTTTTGGTTTGTTTCAGAGGGTGATTGTATTCTTTAAATCTTGAACCTCAACCATGATCTACTAAGTCAAAAGTCCTGGGCTCAAAACATGCATTTTTTACAGTCTACTCGGTTGATTCTAATGTATATATAAAACTTAAAATGGCTAATGATAAAATGTTAAGTGGAAAGCAGAATAAAAATGATATATACAGTTGAGTTAACTCTGCTTTAAAATGTGTACATAGCAAAGAACTATGTTAAGATTCAATAATTAACTTGATATGGAATTATGAGTAATAGTTTTTGGATTTTTCAAGTTTTCTACAAAGAACAAGTATTTCCTTTAAAAATAAGGACAACTCCAGTTCTAAGTTGTATTATGGCTTTGCATACTATATAATAAAATACTTTAATATATCAGTACATGTATAAAATTGGTTACAAAAAGACCTATATCATTTCGCTGTGATAAAACTGTATATGGGGGACCAGCAGTTGGCATAATGGCTATGTTGCTGGACTCCAGTGTAGTCGACCACAGTTTGAGTCCTAGACCTCTTGGCTTAAATTCACGCCGGGAACATGTGCATGTATGCCCAAGATCCCTAGAGGAGAATGGAGGAGAAGGGATTGCGGCATGGCCATCCCCCCTGGGGGGTGATTTCTCGCTTTCTGTCTCTCTGTCTCTCTCTGTCTTTCTGGCAACAGCACACACCCTATAGCAAAAACCTCTCAAAAAAAAAAAAACCTGTATATGGAAGACCCCTCAAATTAACTATATAGAAAGATGCCTACAAGATCCTGAGAGGAGAATGGAGGAGAAGGGATTGCGGCATGGCCATCCCCCCTGGGGGGTGATTTCTCGCTTTCTGTCTCTCTGTCTCTCTCTGTCTTTCTGGCAACAGCACACACCCTATAGCAAAAACCTCTCAAAAAAAAAAAAACCTGTATATGGAAGACCCCTCAAATTAACTATATAGAAAGATGCCTACATCGTCAATATAATAAGAGATATAAGCTACAGAATGCCCACTTCGTGCCATGTACTGTATGTATTTTATTTTACTTCATTTAATTTTCACAGCAACCCTATGAGATAGGTTCACACAGTGTAATTACAATATAAGAAGTGTTAATAATAAGACACAATATGCTTTTAGAACACAGAGGAATAAAGCATGTAATTCAGGAAAAAAAAATGTATGTGGACAAGCATGGCTGAATAAGGTCTTACTCGACTAACCCTCCTTTTTGGACAGCTGGACATGGTACAGAAAAAAATAGCTACCTGGAAATATTGAAAAGTACAGTTACAAGCAAATACTTTGAGAAGTCCACATTCATAGGAGGATTTTATACAAATTGAGTCTCTGTTTTCATGACTTTTGGCCTCAGGCCAGGTGCAGTTAACATATAAACTGGTGAAAACATCGTAGTTTTTTTGGCCTAAGGAACCAAACACCAAATTTAGAGAAATCCTAGCCACTAGACAGGGAGCAGGAATCTCAGCAGGGAAAG